AAAACCTGACATTCCCGCATGGAGCTGGCATGACAGTAAGTACAACATGGCTAAGGACACGCTTGGGTGGAATGCCGCGACGTGCCTCTTGGTACGATCTGGTACCACTCTTCCTCTTTATGCCGGCCTTAGCAGCGTGGCTTAATTGAGCAGTGGCTGCACCTCGAGCACCTGGAGCATGTTCGGGGCATCAAAATGCATCCGCAGGGAGGTGGAGGGATGGAAGTTCCTGGCACTTCGCCAAGGCAGAAGTCTGGAGTGGAAGCTGGGAACATTCGAGTTTTTGGACCGATCTGGATAGACTCCCAAAGATCAGCCACATCGTTTGGCATCGTTTGCCCAGTTCTGATGGTGAGACCAAGGCCGGTTTTGATGGTGAGGGCCGAAGCAGGCTTTCGTTGAAGTGTTTTCCACGCAAAAAAGCCTCAAACTTGATGGCAGTGCGTGACTGTGCAGGTGCGTGCAGCAGCCTTCATTTGAGTTGAGGTGTGTTCATCCACGGTTTCACGTCCACGTGCCTTGCTTCAAGGTACTGACCTCCTTGGATATCATCTCCATGGTACAGATCTCCGTGACGCTCTCAACTCTTTTTGTGTTTCTTGGCGTTCTGTTGGCGACTTGTCTTGGTCCGAAAGACTAGAGGCTGGGCCCGGTGATGCCCAAGACAAGGCCAAATGAGCCACTGTCTTTCAGGGTTCAACGATTCAACATGTTGATATGGGGCTGTCAGGCGGTGACAGCCCATGCTTGACTCAATGCCCAGGCTTGGTGGATGGATTAAAGCCACAGACATCCGCACCATCGTTGACTGGCAACTCTTGATTCTCATCGGTGCTGCCTTGGGCATTGCACAGGCCATGACCAGATCTGGAATCTTTGAGTGAACTTGAAGAAGAAGTCGTATTTGTGGGAGACATATGGAGAATCGAAAGCCCCACCCTGAGCCTGTGGAGTTCTGGTACTTGGTAGGGAACGGGCTGAGTAGTTGAAACTCATGTTTGATTTTCGCATTAGATCAAAATCTGTGTGCGTGTGTTCGAGGGCGTGTTACTTCCCTGGGGCAAGCATGTGCAAGTTCTACCATCTTGAATTCTTGAATCTTGGTTTCTTTGTTTCTGCGGCTGCAAAGGGATGCTTTTGATGGACCAAACTTTTTTATATAGTGGTTCACACATGTGGCGCAAAACGCGCACCCTTCGCGACTCGCGACCATGAGTGTTGTTATGCGGCCTGTGGTCATCTATAGGGTTGTGTTTCTTTGAAGGTAGCGTATGAAATAGCAAATGGGCTTAATTGTTGTTTTGGATGTGTTGAGTATGTTTCAGCCAGCTAATTTGGAATTTTCCGCCAACTTTGTTGAGATGCTGTGCAGGAATTGTTCCCAAAGGGTTTCTTGGCAATTCATTCCCTGACACAAGCTCTGGCATAGATAGATAGAGCGAGAGAGAGAGAGAGAGATGGAGGCGCGCTTGTAGGCAACTGCTAGGTATCCTTGGGTCCTTCAAAAACCTGCTTCTCGCGAGAACTCGCCCTGAGGATTGGCGGCCGGTGTGTCCCAAGCCATTCTATCGAGCGGACTTCCCAACTGGCTGACTCCGTCACTTCTTTATTTGATCGTCATGGCCGCACGGCAGGACACGCTCCGTCCCGGGAGATCAGGGAATCAGGGACGCTCTGACATCTCTGACCTTCGATTGCTTTTGGAGGGTTTCCCTCGGTGCCAGGGCGGAGATGGGTGATCGGCAGTGTCGGGTGATGGCCTAGTATGGCCCAGTCAATTGGCGAACACCGAGGCAGCTAGTCCAAGGACCGAATTACTCCGGGAAAGCGAAACTAAAGGGGAGGCAATGGGTAAATATACCTGGACATCCGCACCTTCTCAGCATTGTTGAGGATTTGTAGGAAGCTCGGAGTCTGGAGGAGAGCTGGAAGGAGATGTTTCTTGTGGTGCGAACTCATGTGTGTTCATGGCTTGCCTGGCTCGTAGGTCTATATACAATGGTATCAGAGTAGATGGCACAATCCCAAAAAGGGGGTTTATATATATATATATATATGGGTCCCCATCTAAAGGACATCTGAAAAATTCTGAAAACACTGTAATTGAATGCACGCATTTCATCACTGTGCTGGAACATCCTCTCTTCTGTACTCTCTTCTGTATGGTCCAAAGGATTTATGTTTGTTCGGTTTCTTGGCATATGGCCGCAGTCGTGAGCTTGCTTTGCTTTCATGTAGCTGTAGAACCTTTTGTGGGGGTCTCAACTGACGGAAAAGACTTTCACAATCCAATTGGTACACAGTGCTATGAAGATTGGGTGATGAACAGCGTGCATATGCGTGCATCATGCAATGAGCCGCCTTCGAACATTCTCAAACTATCTCAAACTATTCTTCTGCAGGTACATTATTCTGTAGAACATGTTTTTTGTTGGTATCATTGGTTGGTTGGTTGGTTGGTTGGTTGGTTGGTTGGGGTCATTGGATTGTTTTTTGGCAATCTCGAGGCGTGACCATTCCAAATATCACGTGCTTTCTCATCTCAAAAATGCGCCCATGAGTGATTCCCGAGCACCCGGGAAGAGATACGACCTGCGCCCAGGTGACCACGGAAATGGTCACCAACAACGCTGCAGCCGCCTTGGGTGTGCCCTTGGCGATTGACCTCTCAGAGAAGATGGGCTTGGCATCCCCTCATCCCTTAGCAGCTCGGTGGCATGGTGATGCATGGTGCAGTCACACCAGAAGACCTCTAGTTGGAGAGCCCAACTTAATCCCCCAATGCTTGGTGAAGACATGAGAGACCTCAGACTTACCCCAGTCTGGTGGAGCGTCCAAACGACGAGTCGGTGTGGTCCAATCAACGGTAGACCAAACGACGGTGTGCAGCGGCCGGGGGTAGGCCTTTTGGTAGCTGTTCTGTTCTGAGTGGTGTCAATGTGGCGGGACTGTCCCCCTTTTTTGAGAGTCGGTAAAGAATTGTCACAATTTTAGGGAGGCCTTTACTAACCATCATCCACTGTTACTGGTAATGGGAGGCCTTTACAAGAATGGTGTTTCTTTGGCATGGTTTTTTGGAGACTCACGATGGTCACTGGTCACCCAATGATTTGGTACAAGGTTGTTGTTCGTGTTCATGTTAGGCTTTGAGTCTAGCTGTTTAGCCTGACCCTGTGGTTTACTCGGCTGCGAAAAAACTTGCTCAGACCGTCCATGGGACTGGAGTAGTTGCCTACATGAGGGTCATAATATAGGGTTCACGTCGAGTCATGTAATGTAACATGCCAGTCCCATGAGTCTAGATTGGATCAGTTTCCACTCTCGACCCACATATCGGAGGTCATGGTCGTGATGCTCGCGGCATCGACCTCCTTCGCCTCGCCCATTGGCTATGCCACCAATCTGATCGTGCCGGGCCCAGAGAGCATATGCCTTGTCTTGTCCGGTATCTCTTGAGCAGATGCCAGTGGCAAACACAAAGAAGCAGCTCTTCACCTTTGTGTTGCAGGCCTTTAGGCTTGGAACATGAGCGCAGTGGCCTGCAATCAATGGTTGTATGAGTTGCACCAATACAGCAGTATCGAAGTGGGTTCTTCAGTCATTCATTGCGATACTTCAGACCGCATCGAGTCCCTATAATTTTGGGTTCACTGGCGGATGATCTTTTCTACTCTACACATCACCTTGGACCACCTTGGAGCGTCCCGTGCGGCGTCCCGAAAGCGGGGGAAACGTCCTGAGGTCATGGGTCCAGGAGGCTACTCGTTCTTGGACTTCCTGAGACTTGGAGGCTTCCTGGACATCGTTTGGCTGATTGGTTGTAGTCTCTTGCTTCCTCTCCTATGGCCTATGACTTTCTTGCCTGCCTAAAAAGAATGGCAGAGCTCCCTCGATTCCGGTCGCTCACTCCTCCAAGGAGAACTTTTTGTAAATTCAGCCACTAGCTTTGCTCCCCGAACTGTGCAGAAGAGCGCTAGCTGCTTTTCCAACCCTGCCTAGCACTGGGCTTCTGAAGAGCCTCACAAGTTAGTCGTGTTCTCTGACTCAGGGCAAGGTCCCTGACTGGATGCACCTGATTCAGACCATGCAAAGCATGGAGCATTCGCGCCGCAGATTGGCGCCACTTCTTAGGGCAAAATACTTTGTTAAATAGACCTATTCACCGGAAAGTTGAAATCGCCCAGTGAGCACATGTGATTTGTAGAGAATTCTGTTCAGTTGACCCTCCCATTTTTGCCCAGGCTTCTGCAATGGCAGACCCAATCCCCTACAACCCCGGCTGGTTGCATGACTCCAGTGGAGCCTTTCACCAAAGGCTTCCGGTCTGCGCACCGAAGCGGGGCCCGCCGGGCGCGTGGGACCCCCACGGCCTCGGCACCGGAGGCAGTGCCGCGAGGCGCACTGCCTTCGCAATCTCTGCAGACCAGACACCGCAGATCGATCAAAAGCCGCAGATCGCCTGGGATGGGAGGAGAAGGGAGAACACCTTTGGGCTCGACATTTTTGTCTGTGAAAAGCCGAAGCGGGGCCGTGAGGATCGTCGAACGACGCCTTGTTCCCTTGGGAGACCTTTTGGAGTGTTCACCTGGAATGGAAATCCCGAAAGCTCATGACCTGAAAATCGCCAACTTCCTGATGCACCCCATCCCTGGTTTGGTATATATGGAACTCCTAGGTCCTAGCTGCCGCTGGCCTAGCTTGTGAGGGAAGTTCAGACCTCCAGACCTGGCGTGAAAATCAGACGGAATCCGATCTATTAAAAACAAACGGTTTGACAGATCGACATGCTTTGTTAGGCTTTGTAATATGTTAACACCACGATCTCCCACATCTTCTTGCTTTCTTCAATCTGATGCAAACGAAGGTGCCGCCGTTTTTCGCTCGCACGGAATCGCTCGGTACCACCTTTTCTCGCCGCGGAATGCACCGGTTTCAGACCCAGCACCGATCGCCCACCGTTGACGCTGGGGGCCTGGGCGAGCGAGTGACGGCCACGCCAGGGCGAGCGAGGTCAAGACAGAGCATCCAGAGAGTCCAGCTGTGCCCCGCAGGCGCGGAGAGGAAGTAGAAGCCAAGCCAAGCAAGTTGTGAACATGGGAAGCCCATGGGAAAGCTGCGAAAAAGAGGTCCAGAGAAGGGGAAAAATGTTCAGGACCTTCGGAAAATGACAAGGTGCATTGAGTGATTTCGTGTGAAGCAGGGAGTGGGAGTGGGATGTGTTTGACTCTAAGGCTTTGAATCAGACCAGGTGGCAGGTGGCGCAAAATCTGGTACACCAGTTGCTCCCTTGGTTTTACTGTACCGGAATGTTTGGGTAGCATAAGATGGCACGGGGTCCAAGCTTGAGATGATGAGCAATGACCCCATTGAAGTGTGCAAGAATGTCCACCACAAGTTGTGAGACATGTTTGCATCGGCAATCAGCTTGAATACCTGGCTGCTTGATTATGGAACTGATTTTGTGAGTGGCAGGCTGTGAAATAACATGCTCCTTGTTGTGTAACGTTAATGGTTACGTTTATTTGTGCTTCTATTGGAACATGCGATGGCCTCCATCCTAGTAGTGGTGTGGCCTCCAACCTAGTAGCTTCTTGCTACTAGTAGTAATGGCCTCCAACCTACTAGCGATGGCCTCCATCCTAGTAGCGTCCTTGCTCCTAGTAGTAATGGCCTCCTATACGTTTTGCTGTCTTTCTAGTGGAACATGTTGTTTTTTTTGACCTGCACGTGCAGGCCGGCAGTTCAGCGGCCAGAACGAAGCGAGTCTCGCTTTCCCGAAGGGTCCACTGAGGCCCCGCGGGCGCGTGAATCTTTGAGTTCAGTTCCCTACGGCGATTGCAGGAAGGTACTGCAAGTGCGAAGCCAATAGGCAGTCAGAAGACCTATTCTTTCGGGAATTATTTGGGGATGTGTACAACTTCAGCACGTTGGAACCGCTGATCATTCACGGGCCCCCATGTTGATGTGTTCCAAGACCGGGTGCGCTTGGGTAGCTCAGTGGGTTTTTGGAGGAAGAAGAGCCAAAGCTCGTGAGAGCCCACAAAGTGATGGCGCCACCACTGGTGACTTACACCAAATGGCTCAAACAACTCAAGGGATGCCCAAGCAACCAGTTTCATCCACACTGTTCAGTTTCATCAAGAAGGAAGTACCCAAACCAAAGTTTGTGGGTGTGTGTACTTTACTATACTATGTTTGCTTGTATTCAGAAAGTAGTCGCTTTGCCTTCCAAAACCATGTGCTGTGTGTGTTGGGGCAGTCGGCTGAGCTCCACGGAGCCAGTCGATCCACGACACGAGCCAGGCCACCGTGGAGCAAGCGCTTCAACATGTGGCGCCGAAATACCGTGAGCCATTGCTGGTGGAGCTGCTGTCCATGTCACAAGAACTGAGGCGCCGAAGACCGAGCGATAGCCACGCGCCGGCCCCCTGTAATTCGCATGAGCGATTCGAGGACCTAGAGCGTTCGGGACCGCTACGAATTCGAGGGCGCTCCTGGCATGACGACGAACGGAACCAGCAGCTACGAACGTCACCAAGAGGGGGCCACCCGACGGGTCACCCGGCGGATCCGGGCCGCCAGACGGTTCTTCCGGCGTTGGTCGGTCCTTTGACGGTCATGCCGTTGGTTGCTCAGACTCAGTCGGAAGAATGCTGGATTCTGATGAGTACACGGATTCTTCCATGATCATGGGATCCCCCCCTCCAGCTAAACAAATGGGAGGACCTTTGTAATAAACTACCAAGTCCGGATTCCTGGGAGGATTCCTGTTGCAATTGATTAGTTGTCCGTTCTTTTCAATTCATACATGATTCATTAAGGAATTTCTGATGGCTTTGGGAGAACTAGAGGCACCTATAATTACCATTAAATACCATTAATACGCTCAGCAAGCCAGCCATTGGCTTAGCAGTATTGCGATGTATGTTTATTCATGTTTACCAAGGAAAAGCTTTGCACAACTGAGGAAGCTTATATAGAACAAGTTTATTATTGAGGATCAGGGGCCTTCCTGGTCTACTACCTTGAAATTTTGTTTGGGAGCAGTCGTTACATAAAGGTTTGATCGAGGGATTGATGGCTTTGTGAAGCTGTCAGTTTTGAAGAAGAACTCGAAGAAGAACTCGAGAAACTTACAATTACCAATAAGCCATTTGGCTTAGTAGTACGAAATAGCGGACCCTTAAACCGTCTTAAAACAAACATGGGGTTCAGAATCCTTTTTGAACACTTTAGCATTATAGAAGACCCTGCTACTATATATATAATCAGGGTCCAATATTACTGAAGGTAAGAAGAGAGCTAGCAGGTAGCAGGATGAGGGGACTGCAAGCTCCAGAACTTGTTCAAATGAGGTTGAGAAGCTCGAGTGTTTCCAATCAGACCTTCATGGCCTGCCATGTCAACCCCATGCGACATGTGCAACGCTGCGGGCAGGTATGGGCAGGTATTCAGGGTCAGGTTTCTAGAACCGAGCGGAAGTGCGGCGCCAGGACAGCAAGAGAGCTGGCAGTCGCTCAGAGCCAACGCAACTCTCAGCTACAACGAGAGGCGCTGGTTGATCTAGAAAATGAGGACGTTGACGCACCATGAATCAACACAAGCGATTGGCACTCTTCAGCTTCCTAAGATGGGCCTGCTTCTTTTCCAGGAGATGTAGATGGAAGAGTTGATAGACTTTAATCCTGATGTGGGCTTCGTGACAGTGACAAAGCTACAGGTTCTTCAGAGTGTTTTAACATGGGCATTCACGCGCAACCTGAGGCTTGGTCTTAGTTCATGATTTTCTTTTGGGGGTTGTGGTTGCATAGCTCGCACTCTTTCGTTTTTTTCCGTCCAGTGCGGTCAAGCATTCGTGCTAGGAAGATAGGTGGTGCGCCCCAAAAAACAAACCAAGACCCTAAAGAAGCAGTCGCCACACATCCTGGGCAAGGTATACCAAAACATTGATCCAAAAAGTCCTGTGCACATCCAAATGTGTGCTCAACTTGGCCACTTCACTCCGGGTCATAGCTGGTCCGAAATAGCAACTGGTTCCATGGACCTTCATCCCTGCTCCGTGCTGGCAAAGGCCCAGTGAGGGGTTTGGAAACTGGCTCCAGTTTTTCTACATGTGTTCCTAGTAAAACCTGGTGCTGTACCTCATTGAGCAGATGCTTTGTATGATCAAATGCAATAACATTAGATTTGACCTCCTTAGGGTGCCCTCGTTGGTGGAGATGTCCGATGAACCCCGTACAGGTGGAAGACCAGGCCCACGCCTGAGTTGGCTCGCGTGAAGGGGCAGACAGGAAGATCAGAGGCATTTGACCCGCAAAGAGCGACGATCGACCCGTTCGGACCCTTGTTTGTGATCCCTGCTACCAGCTGGCACTGTACTTCTTCGGCAGGGTCCCTTTTGTTCTGTTCTTTGCGGTGTTTCGGCGCCATCCAATGATGTGTGAAGCCCCACTACCATTGGTCATTGGTGTGCTATCCAACCATTCAAACTGGGTAGTGCTGGTCCATCTCGCTTTCTTTGAGGGGTGGGCTGGCCCGCCTGGACCTGCTGTTGAATTCCTCTTCATTTGATTTCCCTCCAGAATCCCATGCGGTGGCACTGCATGGCACTGCATGGCTCAGTGAGACGGCAGCTTTTGACAACCAAGGGAGGGACCTCACTTGCAACGTCCGCTGTTGCTGACACTGCTCCGTCCGAGGTTTGCCTCTTCAACACCCTAGTGGCTGGCCTGGAAATGACGCGGCGGGTTTTCCTGAGTGAAACCTGGAGCTCCAACAGCATGTAATTTGACCTTCCAGGTAGGTCAACAAAGGTGTTTTGGTTTTGACCCACTGCCATTTGGCGCTGCAGGGCACATCAATCGACTTGAAAGTGGCGACATTAAGTTCAACCGGAGGATTCTGCTAGAGTGATCTACAACTTTGGCAGACCTAGGAATCATTGGAGGGATTTGTAGGTCAGCATGTGGTAGAAATGGTGAACTTCCTCCCTTGCCTCATGCTTGATGCCACGGCTACCACCACAAAGCGCATACTGTAGTTCAATGGAGACGTCCACTATTCTGGCGCCGTTCATTATGCACCCACCCCAGAAAGACAACGAAAACACCGACCCGCCCGGAGACACGCTTCGTCTACCTGTCCTTCAAGGTCGACCTACAGCAGCAAAACCAGTGGTTTGAAGAGAGGCGACGACATGTGGACGATGCCAACCAGGCAGGAAGAGCCTGGCGCGACGCTTCGCAGCGCTGCGCAATCGCGCAATCCTGTCCGCGAGGGGGAGGCCGTGCTGCGAGGAAGGATGAGAGCGAAGCTGATCGGTAGTGGTGGTAGGTAGGCACTTTATGGAATCTCATTATGAGATTATTCACTGAGCTTGTTGTGGAAGGAATGTCTATCCGAGTCTATCGCAGCCAAAGCTTTGTTTCAAGTGGCCATTTGTGGAGTATTGGAAAGCAAGACTGCCGAAACTGCATCCATTTGGCTACTGTTTCACACCTGTTTGTCATCCCGTGTGCCGGATACTGCTCTAGATGTTCGTTCGCTGGCCAGTGTTCCAGACAGTTCCTTCTCTACCTTAGCATGTTTCGGCCGGTGCAGGTGGCCATGGAAATCGAACAGCAGCAGCTGGAGAGGCCTCGAACGTGATATTTGAGCTCGTTTGTGTTTTCTTCTTCGGAGCCCCCATCAGGGCACATGAAGCCGCAAAGGATTCGCCCAAAAAGTGGAAATTGCCGCAAGATCGGTTTCTTATGGTTTCTTATGTATATGATACATATATATATATACATATTATATATTATATATATAGAATTATATATATATATATTATATATATATAACAGATATACAATATAATATATATATATATATATATATTTGTGTGTGTGTGTTTATGTGCCACTTCTTTTGGAAGGGCAGGAGGGAATTGGAAATGACATGGATATGTGCCTATTTAGCAGAGATAGCCAGGATAGCTGAAAGATTGTCCGTATGTATAGCCCGAACGATGCTGTTGAAGATGTTGGACTGCCGTGTATAGAATGGCGTTGTGACACTGGCTATGAGAGCTATGGCACAAGCCTTGGGTGTTCCAAGAGTTAAGACAGGTTGAGTGTGAGTGCGAGTGATGTGTCGCAAGCTCAGCTTTCCGTCCAACTCCTTTTCTCTAGCCTCCTCTTTTCTCCCCATGATTAGAGAGGATTGTCCAGGTGAGTCCTCCATAAGTTTTGTAGACCGGCTGTTGAGTATCCATTTCCGAGACTGGCAGTCAAGTCAGTTGGGCACAGTCAAGGAACCAAGGAACATCCTCATTCAGCCGCTTCGGCCACTTTGGCCAACACATGCCAACACGTGATTGTTTTTTACTGACGAATCTCCGACGACGGACTTCCCTGATCATTTTGTTAGATCAAATTCAGACCCAGCAGACCTACAACCCCTTCCAAGCAACTAGGTCACTAGGTCCCGCGGAAGAGATGCAATTTGGGGCGCCCCTATTACCCGCGCCCCCAAACCTTCTGGCCCCAACCTTCCCCGCACCTTCCCCCCCGCACGGGGCCGCAGTTTGCGGATGGCCGCAGAAGATGTGACAGCCTCGAGGTGGGGAGAGACTGGAAGGAGCTGGCAAACGGCAACAGTTGTAGCACACTCCCCGAGGCAAACAGACCGTTAGGGGGCGGTTCAAAAACTCTGACTAGTTGGGAGATGCCCACATCATGCGGGTCACAGTTCTTACTAGATGAGGTTTGCTTGACCGGCTTCAGGCTGCGCCTGGAGGAGCCAAATGAAATCAAGAAGGCAGTGCCGCTTCAGAAGTGGGATGAAGTGGCTGTGGTTTGAGCTAGGGAGGATGCCCTGACCAATGATGTTGTCTAGGTCGCCAAGATTCCTGGTTTGTTTAAATAGGTTTTAAGCTCGATCGCAGGAACACGAGCCCTCAGTTCATGGAGCCACCGTCTCGCCTGGGTCCACCGGTAGGTCACGACCCAGAGCCCCAGCTGAAGCTCCCGTGTTCCAAGTCAATGCGAGCAAAGTGGCTTTGCCAAGCTGCAAGTGTTCAGGATGACTACGGGCTATAGTGGGAAGAAAACGAAAACTGATGCTTATGCCCGTGTCCTTCAGCCAAGTGGTTGGATCATGTGAAATCCTTCGGCCACAGTGGCCACGAGCGATGCCGCAGTTTGAAGAGGGCCCCCAGTCACTTCAAGGAGGTTGAAACACCACGGCTTAGGATGAAATGAGAGGGCTTGAGTAGGACAATCACTACCAGATGGCCTCCACAGCCCGCCCACTCTGAAAGTCGCTGCTATCGCTTGGTCGCTTGGAAGGTCCTCGCAGCAAGTGAACAAGAGATGGCTGAGAGGACTCAAGCTTTGGAAGAGGACTGTGGCCAAACAGCCTTTCGTTTTTGGGTGCGGCTCAGACGTGCTCAATGGCAGGGGAAATGTCTCGCCTTGCGCGACGTGCCCCCTGTGCCCCCTGCGCCTCACGGGGCACGTGGTATGGTGTTGCTCGGAGGCCCTCGGACGAGGACTTGGTATGTTTCGTTGTTTTTTGTTGTGTTTTAAACGTTCTTACAGGTTAGGTTGTTACTAGTAGCTGCTTGCTCCTAGTACGGCCAGGAGCCCCTAGTAACTAGTAGCGTCCTTGCTCCTAGTAGCGATGCCAGGAGCCCCTGCTTGTAGTAGCTTCTTGTTCCTAGGGCCTTACATGTGCCTTTACTCACCATCCCAACGGCTTCACCCCTCGTCCGGTCCGTGGGTCCATTGGGTCATCGCGTTTCGTCGCGAGGAACTGAAGGAACTGGATGATCTCATCGAAGAGGCCCAATTTGGCCGAGGAAATTCATCCACCAGATTGCTGAAGGACCAGTATCTCAGTAGCTCTGGAACCGTTGGGGTCCCACTTTTCAGATGTCATATCTAAATCTCTTTCTTGGAGGGGCGAAGTGTTGAAGATGATTTCACCTGGAGATAGGCGACATCGTGGAATCCTGGTCAGTCCTGTGAGCAGGTTCCGACTGCGACTGATTCACAAAGCCAAGGAAAATCCACAAGCCTTTGACCTGAACTCCAACACCGGAGGGCCAAGGGGCCACAAACTTGCCAGATTTCGGCATTTGCACACCAACATGTTTAGTGCAGTACACTATGGTCCATGGTTGTCGGTAATTGCTCTGCTTCAATTGGCCGAATGCTTTATATAGAACATACATTTGTCAGACAGTCCGTGGGACACCACTGGCTCTTTTGCCCGCTGGACGGGCCAAGTTCAACATGTCTCATAACCTCCTGGCACTGAGACACCGCAGCATAAACCCGCTCCAACTCCAAACCACCCGCCTCCAAATCCGCCAACTCCAAACCAATAAGCCTGAAATTTTAAGAATTGCATCTTCAGGCTGTTTGGAATCGACCTCAATAGGTTAGGCAAGCCCACCGAGGGTCCGTGCATTCCAGAGAGCCATGGATTCAAGGGAAAAACATCATCAGATCAAATCATTTGTAAACTTTGCTTCAGCCTCACCTCGCTCAAGAGCCATGACGACTTTCCACAGCTTGGCCCCCTGGACGCCCCAGTGCGGTCACTTGCAGATGCGAGTCCTGAGTGAAGGAGAGCTGAAGACGCCAGGCATCTTGGGTATCTCCCTGCTTGGACGCCCTATTGGCGGATGGCTTGGATCGGCAAGAGGAAACAGACAATGCTTCAAGAGGCCACAGTCACGAATCCGAGCGCTCTCACCTCACTCTAAAGCAACTCCATCATCCCTTGGGTGTTCTCACTTGGCTGGTTCACATCTCGCCGGAAGCTCCTTCCTTTGCGCACTGACCCTCCACAGTGTCGGACGGGTGCGCGTCAGCGGCCGAGCTTGCACAGACGGACTCCTCGAGTTGAGCACGCGCGACTTGCGGAAGATCTTGGATCGGGCGGGCGCCCGCACGGCTGGGCGCTACGAGCGCGAGGCCTTACTGGAGCTTTTGCGGGATCCCCAGCTGCGTGCCAAGTGTGAAGCGTTGGTTAGAGATGCAGGTGGAGATGAGGTGGGGTGTGGCAGTGATATGATGGGATGAAATGGTAATGTGGTCCCTTGATTAATCAAGCCCCCCCCCTCTCCCCCCCCCCCAACTCTTGAGACTCCAGAACAATGTGCTAGAAAACCAATCAATTGATAAATAAATAAGGAATCCTTAGCTAGCTACCTCGAGCTACTCTGGCAATATTAAAATAACAGGAATCAAGAAACCTAACTTTGAAGACATCTGGAATATTAACTACAATAAAAGGGAATGAATCAATGGAAATAGAAATAACTTTTTAAATTTAAAAAATCTGAATTCAAAGACCTGCAATTTCAATGGTAAGTAAAGCAAATCAAAAGGCAAAGAAAAGGAATAAAGATTTAAAGCCTCAAATCTCTAGACATTATTCTAGGGGCCCCCCC